ACAGTAGGAAGAGCCAAAAACTTGTGTTGTCTCGGAGAGCAGGAATTGGGACAAGACATATGACAATGCCCCATTCACTGCGTTCCGACCCCCCGTAGACGGACCCCCCGTCTCCCTTAACGTATATGTATCTACAGGGTCTCTACATGCGGCAACACGAGGCTACATACAGCTACCTGTTTGTACGCCGTGAAGTTCATGGAGCTTACCGTACATGCATCTACAGGCCATCTACATGACGCACACTGCCGTACATGAACCATCACCTACATCAGTCTACATGTGTTTACGCCATCAACCCATGTAGACGCACCTCGCCTTAGGCCATTTCTGATTTTACATGGCACAAGGAACCCTCCTTGACTAACTCCAGGCATTTTCTGCCATGCCTGTAAGTCTTGATTGTCTATACTATACTTAACTCTGACGGAATCAACCCTGACCAGTCATCATCAACAATGCTCTTTGTGCGGAGGACCGACTTATGTGATGTCAATCATTACGTAGACCGCAGCAACTACATCTGGCTGCGTGTGTGACATTGGTTGATGTGTGTACATCAATATAGGTAAGTACACACACATAGAAGTAGGTAGACAATGGGGTCCATCTAACCTGCATCTACAGGGTAGACGGACCCTCTGTCTACCCTCCGTCTATGGGGGGTCGGAACGCAGTGATTGGACTTGAGTTGGAGTGCATGATTACAACTCATACCTCTTGTGCTGAAGTGCATTGTTGAAGGCCTTATTTGACATCAAAGGGCCCTCATACCATTAGATCAAGTAGAATTGTGGCGTCAATGTCAAACAAGTTTCCAAATTCAAATGGAGGTGGAGTCTCCCACCACCAGTGGTATACGACAGTGAGCACTACCTAACATCGGCCGTCTAGCTCAGTTGGTTAGAGCGTCGTGCTAATATAACCCAGCTTGTCCCTGTTTGTTAACGCGAAGGTCTTGGGTTCGACCCCCACGATGGCCATTAAATGTTTTTGTTTCCCTGCAGTCACGTCCCTGAATCTTCACACCCCCCCCTCCTTCCCGGCTATTGAACTGGACTTCAGAACATATTTATTTTATTGCTTTCGCCGGCCCCAGCCTTGCACCTGGTCCACTGATCTTTGACCTCATGAGAAGGAACCAATGTAGTCAAGGACCAACACTGTTGCTTTCTCATCAAACTCAGTGGTTGCAATATAGTGCTACCTCTGGCAATTTGGACTTGTTCATTAATCCCCCTTGCTAACCATTGTTTTCTACCTTGCTGGTTTAGCTTAATGGAGATTAGATGCCTTTACATCAACACGAAAGAGTTGGCGCAGAAACAGAGAGTGTGCATCGCCAAAACAGGACTAGGTAAAAAAAACTCTGGAATTTGGCCGTGTTCCCCTTGTGAGCATCCACAATTTTTGCGTTCAACACAAGTAGCTGATCACCGGATCTGATGGCCGAATCAGGAAATTTCCTCAGCCGATGATCACTGCCTATGTACACAGCCTTGTCTACACAGCTATGATCTGGCTGTGGGTCTGCTCACTTGAATGTGCTCTGATCCAGTCAAACTGAGGTGAGAAAAAGAGCTGGGGCAGAGTACTGTTCAATTTCCTTCAATTCGTAGGACCATTTGGCATGTGACACCGCATACAAATTGATCCTTTCGTATGCGGGCCTGTGACCCATGTGACCTACGAATTTTTTTCGTATAAAATTGCCCCGCAGGGCCGCCAGGAGAGAAAATTTTGTCTTAAACAGGTGAGAACCTTTTGTATTGAGCCTTTGTGACCCTGTGACCTACGAATTTTTCGTAGCTTGTGACCTGTGACCCTACGAATTGAAGGAAATTGAACAGTAGTCTGCCCACACATCATGCCACACATATTGTCCGAGATTGTTTGCGCGCATGGGTGTCCCTTGTTCAACTCAAGGCCGCTTCATTTCATTCACAATCCAAACTCATTTTGTCTCCAATTTGCCGACTGGAATATGTGCGAGTTCATTCGAGTTCAACACATTCATAGGGATCCTGGAGTGCCTCTATGCCCAGTTTCATGGGGACTTGGATTCAATATTTGTGGACACCCCTTGTTTGCTGCGGCTGGAAAAAGGTTGTTATGATACAATTACAGCTATTTGCGGAACATAGGGCACAGCCCTTTGTTTTTTTTTGTGAGTTTTGACGAGATCAGCTCCTGTGAGCTCAATTCTCCACTGTTTCCCTTGAGAGTTAGCTCATTCTATTCGGACAGAGAATACGGATGCCGTGATGTTGCCCGATTTTTTCTAACAGGCTCAAAATGATTTGGTGGGTCAGATTGGGGTGTTTTTAGACCTCTGAGCACAGAACGAGCACCAGAAGACCATTTGTGATTCGATTACCCTAGATTTTTAATATGATGTACTTTAGTGTATTGCGGAGGGCTTCACATACCGGTATTTTTAATGTGAGCTGTACTTCAAATCCACAGCTCACATTCTTAGTCATAGGAAATTGGTCCAGCTGCAACTCACCATATCTTTTAAGTACAGGTGACACTGGAAATCACAGTATTTTTAGCCCTCTAGAATAGTTTCATGTACACCATAACAAAATCTAGCTCAATTGGAGCACTACTAGCACTCTGCCACATGTTCTGCTCTCACATGTGCAAAAACACCCCAATCTGACCCACCAAATCATTTTGAGCCTGTTAGAAAAAATCGGGCAATGTCACGGCATCTGTATTCTCTGTCCGAATAAAATGAGCCAACTCTGAAGAGAAACGGTGTAGAATTGAGCTCACAGGAGCCGATCTCGTGAAAACTCACAAAAAAAAAAAAAGGGCTGTGCCCTATGTTCCGCAAATAGCTGTAATGACCCGCCCCCAAGCTGAACGGGGATCCTCTGCAAACAGGTAGCTGTGAATGAGTCAAGGTTTGCAGATGCATGCTGCGTGCTCTTGGGTCTTGTGGGTAGTGATCAGCCAAATGGGATCACCTGTGGGCTGATGTACACTGGGGAGGGGCCAAGCATGAGTATAAATCTGCCAATCAGTGAGTCATGAGGATCACCTGTATATTGAGAGCAAGAAAAACAGGGATTCACACTGAATAAAGCAAAATTTCAGTCCAGACTGAAACTGTGTTTGATTTACCATGACTCTATATCCAAATCAGTCCCCCAGAAATTGGGAAAATCCGTGATGGCTGATTCTCAGAGAGAAACTGAAAGAGTTGTTATGCGCTTCAGTGCGGCTGAAATCCCTGAGCGAATTTTGCCATTTGTTGATATAAATAGCAAGCCACTAGTTGCGGGATTTCATCCCTGCTGAAATACACTATGAATCTTTGAGTTTCTTTGTGAGAATCAACCATCACTCATTTGCCTCATATCAGTTGGACTGATTTAGATATAGATTCACAAGATGCCCTTCGCTTCGCTCCGGTGTTAGTGGATCGTATCAGGTATCAAAGAAAACCACAATAAAACTGATTTCATCGACGAAGCTACATGGCATGCATCCAGTATCGAATAACAAAGACAACTCTGCCAGTGTGTGATATTTAAATTTGTTTACAAAGCCCATGGGAGCGCTCCAAATATGAGGGTGTTGTAGTGTTGACTATACCTATTCCATGTCAGTTGTGACAGAATGAAAGCAACGACGCTTACGGACGCACCTCTGATATGTATTACCAGAGTATATGGTGTGGAGTTTAAATGAAATCAGAGTATGGAATGCGACCTGTGAATCATAGGGAGAAGGAGAGAGTTGGTTATCAATAGCGAAGTAGACGCACAGACAGTGTCGTTCTGAGATTTTTAGTCAAACGCAGAAGGAAAGAAATGGGATGCACTGTTGATGCACTGTGAATTTCAAACAGATGCTGCCAAGCCATGTCCGAGCAGAATGAGTGAATGGACTGAAGAACCTCTAATCTCAATGAGTGTGTTGTTATTCTTGAGACAGGTATTTGAATTGGATGCATGGACGTGTCGCCCAGGTCTAGCGGTGGTTGAAATATTGACGCTTGATATTCACGTGGTATTGTGGGGACGGTTGAATGTCTGTGGAGTGTGCTTTGTTCTTCTCGGAGAAACGGTTTTTTTGGTCTTGATACCCGCTTGGCCCCATGGAAGAGAGCTTGATCAATGCTGGTGAGGATGTAGCACTGGGTGCTTGAACATGGTTTTGGTTGGGGACTTTGTGATCAGCTCGATGCTCAGAGTTGACTCTTGATCGGAACGTTGAAGGGAGGAAAGCCAGCGGAAGGTCAGAGTCAGTTTTTTCGCTGTAAGCAAGGCGTTGCAGGGGTGATGATGGGGGAAGAAAGGAGGAGGAGGATTGATGTCAATCGCTCTCTTAAATTTTGGGTCAGGCATAGGTTTGTTCGGAAGATCGCGGCTGTCTCACAAACTGACGGAGCCCAATTTGGGCAGCTCAGAGACCAAAGGATTTGACGGCGCAGTTCACAGTCCGTAACTGCGGCGTAGCAGACCATGGGGACACTGCGCAAGAGAGAAAATGTATTAATTAAGCCTCATGGGGAAGGAAAGCAACATGCACAATGTGATGGGCACCGCTGAACGAGCAAAATCTTAAAGAACAGATAATGGTAAATCAAACACAGTTTCAGTCCAAACTGAAATTTTGCTTTATTTGGTGTGATTGCAAAGAGATTCAATTAATTGAGGTACAAGGCACTCCGATTCCCGATGGCTTGAATCAAAGTATAGATAAAACAAAGGTCGTTGGTAGCAAGAGCCAAAAACTTGTGTTGTTTCGGAGAGCAGAAATTGGGACAAGATATATGATGATGCCCCATTGGACTTGAGTTGACTACAACTCATACCTCTTATGTTGAAATGCATTGTTGAAGGCCTTATTTGACATAGAAGGGCCCTCATACCATTGTAGATCAAATAGAATCATCGCCTCAATGCTTAAACCACTTTCCAAATTCAAATGGAAGGTGGATGCCCCCGCCGCATGGTAGATGACACCGAGCCAAATCAATCACTGGCCGTCTAGCTCAGTTGGTTAGAGCGTCGTGCTAATATGATTTGTGATTCATACTTCATTTACGCGAAGGTCTTGGGTTCGACCCCCACGATGGCCATTGAGATTTTTTGTTTCCCTGTAGTCAGTTTCTCTTTCGTCCCTGAATCTTCACACCCCCCTCCTTCCCGGCTATTGAACCCGACTTTAGAACATGTTTGTTTTATTGCTTTTGCCAGCCCCGGCCTTGCACCTGGTCCACTGATCTTCAACCTCATGAGAAGGAACCACTGTAGTCAAGGACCAACACTGTTGCTTTCTCATCAAACTCGGTGGTTGCAATATAGTGCTACCTCTGGCAATTTGGACTTGTTCATTAATCCCCCCCGCCAACCATCATTTTCTACCTCGCTGGTTTAGCTTTGGTGTAGCTTAATAGAGATTAGACGCCTTGACATCAACATGAAAGAGTTGGCACAGAAAGAGAGAGAGTGCATCACTGAAACAGGACTAGGTAAAAAAAAACTCTGGAATTTGGCTGTATTCCCCTTGTGAGCATCCACAATTTTTGCATTCAACACAAGTAGCTGATCACCGGATCTCATGGCCGAATGGGGAAATGTGGGGTGATCAATACGAACATTGTTGTTTGTTTTTTTGATTGCGCACGGACCTTCAGTTAACTTTCGCTCCAGCCGCCGATCAGTGTGCCGTGGCAGCTTGAGTTGTCCACAGAAATATTTATTGAGTTCAAGTTCATATGAACATCAAGAGTGCTGCTAACCTGGATGTTACGAGATTATGCACTGGATGGCAGGCAGCTGTATTTTACGAAGATGCTCACTATGTTTCAAGTGGTGATTATTGGAAGAGTGCATGCGATACCAACTATGACCGTTCCCACGAACTGTAACACGCGAGAAGGTGTGTCGTCGTCGTGCATAGCTTTTCTCGAAACCAAGTACCAACCCTTTGAGGTTGACTATCAGCCTGACCGGCCCTGACCGGCCCTCATAAAGTCAATATCAGGCAGAAATTGTCTTCATCAGACCTATATCATGCTGGCGCTGCCTTGCAAGGGCAAATCAGCCAGGTGACCGCATTATGATGCCTCATCAGGCCCATTACGCAAGATGATCTTTATCGCGGCATATCAGAAATTCCCGGTTTTGGTGATGTGGGTCTGCTCACTCGAATGTGCTCTGATCCAGTCAAACTGAGGTGAGAAAAAGAGCTGGGGCAGAGTAGTCTGCCCACACATCGTGCCACACATATCGTCCGAGATTGTTTGCGGGTGTGGGTGTCCCTTGTTCGACTCAAGGCCGCTTCATTTCATTCACAATCCAAACTCATTTTGTCTCCAATTTGGCAGCTGGAATATGTGCGAGTTCATTCGAGTTCAACACATTCATAGGGATCCTGGAGTGCCTCTATGCCCAGTTTCATGGGGACTTGGATTCAATATTTGTGGACACCCCTTGTTCACTATGGCTGGAAAAAGGTTATGATACAATTAATGACCTGCCCCCGAGTCGAACGGTGATCCTCTGCAAACAGGTAGCTGTGAATGAGTCAAGGTTTGCAGATGCACGCTGCATGCTCTCGGGTCTTGTGGGTAGTGATCAGCCAAAGGGGATCACCTGTGGGCTGATGTACACTGGGGAGAGGCCAAGCATGAGTATAAATCTGCCAATCAGTGAGTCATGAGGATCACATGTATATTGAGAGCAAGAAAAACAGGGATTCACACTGAATAAAGCAAAATTTCAGTCCAGACTGAAACTGTGTTTGATTTACCATGACTCTATATCGAAATCAGTCCCACCAGAAATGGGGAAAATCTGTTATGGCTGATTCTCAGAGAGAAACTGAAAGAGTTGTTATGCGTTTCAGCGCGGCTCAAATCCCTGAGTGAATTTTACCATTTGTTGATATAAATAGCAAGCCACTAGCTGCGGGATTTCATCCCTGCTGAAATGCACAATGAATCTTTGAGTTTCTTTTGTGAGAATCAATCATCACTCATTTGCCTCATATCAGTTGGGCTGATTTAGATATAGATTCATGGTAAATCAAATGCAGTTTCAGTCCAGACTGAAATTTTGCTTTATTTGGTGTGATTGCAAAGAGGATCAATTAATTGAGGTACGAGGCACTCCGATTCCCGATGGCTCGGATTGATGTATAGATAAAACAAAGGTCGTTGATGACCTCTGGCATGGTAGCAAGAGCCAAAAATTTGTGTTGTTTCAGAGAGCAGGAATTGGGACAAGACATATGACAATGCCCCACTGGACTTGAGTTGGAGTGCATGATTACAACTCATAACTCTTGTTGAAATGCATTATTGAAGGCTTTAGTTGACATCAAAGGGCCCTCATACCATTGTAGATCAAGTAGGATCGTCGTGTCAAAGCTTAAACAACTTTCTAAATGCAGTGTTATACGACACCGAGCCTAATTGATTACCGGCCGTCTAGCTCAGTTGGTTAGAGCGTCGTGCTAATATAGCCAGATTACATCGGTGTTTATTAACGCGAAGGTCTTGGGTTCGACCCCCACGATGGCCATTAGACTTTTTTTCCTGCAGTCAGTTTCGCTTTTGTCCTCCAACTAGAATCTTTTCCCCTCCCAGCAATCGAGCCCGCCTTTAGGACGTATTTATTTTATTGCCTCTGCCGGCCCCGACCTTGAACCTGAATCACTGATCTTCGACCTTATGAGAAGGGAACCAATGTAGTCAAGGACCAACACTTTTGCTTTCTCAGCAAACTCGGTGGTGGTAATTTAATACTACCTCTGGCAATTTGGAAATGTTCATCAATCTCTCCGCCAGCCTAGTCTCTCGTAGACAGATGCTACAAACAGTTTTTAGCTCGTACCTTGCTTGTTTATACCAGCCATCGTTTTCTACCTCGCTGGTTTAACTTTGGTTTAGCTTGATGGAGATTAGACGCCTTTACATGAACACGAAGAGTTGGCAGAGGACCCAGAGAGAGTGCATCATTGAATTGACTCGAAACTCTAGAATTTAGCTGTGCTCTCCTTGGCAAAAGGTCAAGAGTATAGGGATCAAATGTCCGCGGGAGTCCCCCATCAATTCCCACGGGACTTTTCCATCCAGCCGTTTCGCTGTGCGCATCTCCATCCAGCCCTTTTACTGAGTGTCATTACCCGGAGGGATTTTGATGCATGGACTGCACTCCACCCTCATTGATATATTCAAAACCCTGCAGCTGTTCACATTTAGCTCAATCTCTACAGCTTATCCCAATATAATATTCTTTTTGACGTCACAGTTCACTAATTGATCTTTATCTGATTCCTATGAATTTGCCGCCAGCCGTACTGCTGTTCTAGCATGACTCTCTCAAATAAAATTTCATATCATACAAGTGGACGGAGATCATAGCCACATTGAACACATTCTACTCAACATTATGTAGTATTGACCAACATAAACCGTTTATTGTGCAAGTGGACAGAGATCATAGCCACATCAACTATGTTCTACTCATTCACCGTGTATAGCATTTGACACTGGAGTGGTAGTGGGCCATCCGCTTGACTCAGAGTCAGCTGGGGTTGGGTCATCCTGAAATATACCTGATAAGTAAATGAATGGAGACAGAGACCCTAGTATCGTCCAAGTATTCCCGCAATTGCGGCATCCACAACCGAAGTGGACGAGTGTGAGGGACAGGCATAGCGAATGTCAAACGCTGGAATGTAGTTTGTGGCGACAAGAAAGTGATTGTAGCTGTCGCGCCATAACCATATCAAGCACATCAAGCACATCGAGATGAATTAATGCTATCTAAATACAGGACAGGCCTCCCAGCGTATGTACCTCCGCGCCGGTAACCCTGCAAGGACACCGCCCCTCACGCCCACCCCCAGTTATCCAGTTATTGGTGTGGAAGATTTAATATAGTAGAGTCACATCCGACAAAAGGCAAAACAGGGAACGACCCACAGCCTGTCGACGACGGACAGTTCGTGGTGCATCCCACGTGCACGCCCCCGCTTGCCCCTCCCCCCGCGGACATCGCCGTAAGCAGATCCCTGGGCGCAGTTCCCCGCACGCAGGGCACCACCTGCATATACCCCCGGGGACTTTTCCGCATCCACTTCTGCGCGGGCCGGTCTCCACCCATCCATCGCCACACACGCCTCTCCGCGCCCACATTGCCGCATATACATGGTCAGACGTACATGGCCGAATGCACATGCCCGCACGCACTTACCAGCACCGACATCGCTGCGCAAATCCACGCGTGCACACCCCCGCACGCACTTTGGCTGCTGCCACTCATTCTTGCAAGGGCATCTGCGCATACATATATTTGCATGGACATGCCCGCACGCAGACGCCTGCACGCCCCTCTCTGCACGTACACTTCCCGGGCGGGCACAACCCAGCAGGGACACCGCTGCCTCCGCAAGCACACACACACCCCGCACGGACTCCTCCCCACGAACACCCTCACACGGACGTGTCAGCAAGCGCACTATCCTCACACACACACGTCCGTGCTTGCCCCTCAGCGTCTGCATGTACTCCCCCGCACACGCATCCTGGCACGTGTCTCCCCGCACGGATCGCGCTGCACGTATCGGGCAGCACGTAAACCCCCGCATAGACGTCGCCGCACGGATCTCCCTGCGCACACCTGCTTGTAGGCATCTGCCTGCACGCATCTGCCTGCACGTAAAACCCCGTACGGAGGTCGCTGCACGGGTCTCCATGCGCACACACCTCCCCGCGTGCATCTCGGCGCGCGGGTGTTGCGTATGGGGAGGGGATGCAGTGGTGGGGTGCAGATGCGCCATCGGTGCACGCACGTCACCGCACCTCCCTGCAGGTATGTCGGCGCAGAGCACGCATCTCCCCGTATGCACGTCCCCGCGCAGGGATATCCCTGCGCGTCCATCCTCACATACGCATCCCCGCAGGAACGCCGCTGTGCACACTTCCCTGTGCTCGTGACCCTGCACGGATGTCGCCGCACGGCCTTTCCCGCACGCACATCTCCGCACGCGCATGCCTGCACCCGCCGCCTTGCACGTCCGTCGCCGCACGCACCCCCCGCAGGTCCATCGACACAAGCACGTCCCCGC